ACTGAAAATCCTCGTCCCCGGGCGGCACTTTTTTTTGAATTTTGTTCCTTTTCCCCGCGCCGTTTTTCGGGGATTTCGGATTTTTTTTGAATTTTTTCGCAATAATATTCGGAAAGTAGATAACTTTTAACACATTTTAATGCAATAAAAATTTTTGGTCGGAGTCCTCCTTTAAGCTGTTTGAGTTTAAGCCCATTTTGAATGATTTTTTTTTTAATTTTTTGGTTTTTTTCGTTTCAATGTTTCAACAAAACCTTTTTGTGTTCCTCCGATCCCTTTCCATTCTCTCCTTTCCCTTCTTCTAAAAGATCAATCATCCAGATATGGAACCTTTTCACACGTTCTCCCTAGGGAAATCTCCCCGAATGAAGCAGGGTGTCAAAGATTCCGGATCAAAACTTATCGAATTGGAGAATCTTCTTTTGATAGAAAAGAGAGAGAGAGAGAGAGAGAGAGAGAGAAAAGAGACGCAGACATTTCCATACGGTTCGATAAGCAGCCAAAATGTCGGGGTGCGAAAGATAGGGGGATTATTGACGGCTCGAAGAGGATTATAGAAGCAGGGGAGAAAAGTTTGTAAATGGTAGAAAACTCTGATTAGTGATTTTAATGGAAAATTCAGAAAAAATTGGGTGAAATTTGAGTTTTCTAAGTTATCTGGGAGCTGAGATACAAGATATTCAAATTTTTGAGAAATCTGAAAATTTTAAAAATTAAGAAACAGAAAAAAAAATATCCAACATTTCCATGAAAAAACCTACTTTCTAGCTCGTCTAGAACCCGAGATTCAGCCATTTGAAGTTTAGGCAACGAAAGAGTGTGTGGGAGGGAGAGAGCGCAGGCAACAAGAGCGCTCTAACTGTCTGCGTCTCTTCTGAACTTCAAATGACTGTATCTCGGCTCCCAGATGAGCTAGAAACATGAAACTTTTAGTGTTTTGTGTCATTTTTGCCGTATTTTCAGATGCCAGCAATTTTTGAACTTTCAATGTTTTTTTTTTGAAAAAAATCTCAAAAATCAAGGTCCCAAAATGCTTTCTTCTTCTAGACAAGTTTATTTTCTCAGAATGTTTATGTTAAGTGTACCAAAAGATTAACACCCTACTCCTTTTCCACTTCTCAAGGGCTTAACTGGTCCGTCCCTCTTCCTCGATTGCTCAGCATTAATGAAGGGGGAGGGAGAAAAGAAGGACTTCCCCGACAAACAAAAGAAAATGAGATGCCCCTCACTCTCTCTTCAGAATGAATAATTGATTCGATTGGCAACATGTGGTCCTTAGACAAAATCAGATGGTCCAGGATATTGAATAGAATTTTTTAATTTGACCCAAAATTACTACTTTTTGACCTACCGGTTCGAAACACGCTTCCAACGGCAAGACTTCATATGGACCCGCACAGATAACCGATTTGTGACGACGTGAGAGGACGGCCGAGTGGACGGTCGAGTGCGGTAGCGCCGATATCACTGGAAAGAAGATTACTGTAGATATTGTAGATTACATGAAAATACAGGTGGCACTGCACGAAACTGTCCATTTTTCATGTTTCTAGCTCATCTGTGAGCCGAGATATAGGCGTTTGAAGTTTAGGAGAGACGCAGACAGTTAGAGTGATCTCGTCGTCTGCGCTCTCTTCCTTGCCCACACTCTCTAGTTCCCTAAACTTCAAACTGATGTATCTCGGGTACTAGGTGAGCTATAAACTCAACACTTATATGGTTTAAGATAGTTTTTAGTACATTTTCAGATTTCAGACAAAGTTTTCAAAAAAATATTTTTTTAAAATCTTTCCAACTTTTTTTAAAAATTCAAGTTGTTTTGTTTTAATAGAAAATAAAAGGAAGATGACAAAATTCGGTGCAATTTTCAGCTTTCTAGCTCATCTGGAAGGTGAGATATGGCCCTTTGAAATTTAGAAGAGACGCAGACAGCTAGATTGTCTCGTTGTCTGCGTTCTCTCCCTTCCTCACACTCTCTAGCTGCCTAAACTTCAAATGACTGTATCTCGGGTTCTAGATGAGCTAGAAAACTGGGTTTTTTGACTAATTTTTATTTTTTAATTTGGAATTTTTAAGAGTTAAAAAAAAAGATTTTTAAAAAAATTTTACCAAACCCCTAGTGTTCTGTTCCTTGCCGAATCTCCCATTTTGTCAATTTCCCCTCCCTTCAAACATAAGAACATTCATCTCCCTTTCCTATCTCTGAAAAAAACCCCATGGGACTATCCAAAAAGGCTCCAGAATGTTCTAAAAGAATTGTACTTTTCCCGTTTCACTTGTTTTAACGACGGGGGGGGGGGGAGCTCAGTGAACACAATTCGGACGATTTTAGGACCATGTGAGCAGGCAAACGAAAATTTAATTACTTTGTCTCATCGGGTTTTTCTCATTGAGAATTCTCAATGTTTCTACTTTAAGAGGGGAAATTGGGTATAGATAGAATAAAAGAATGACGAAATAGGGCAAGATTTTGGAACCAGGAAATTTAGCTTAAAGGTGGGGGGACAGGAGATTTTTCGTAGTTTTTTTGTAGCTAGAGTATGCATTCTACCGTAACGGTGTACAACGCTTAATGTCGCTCTGCGTACAGCTGTCGTCCTCGCCTTTATGTATGCAATCGGGCGTCCGCTTTCTCTTTGCCCGTGTAGCTCAGTCGGTAGCGGCGCCGCACCCTCAATCATCGCCCTCACAAGTTCAACTCCTCGAGGAGCATCTTTGAACGGAATTTCGAGAACATTATTTTTTCATGTCCCCCCCACCTTTAAATGAACCAAAAGTTGAATTTCCAAATTTTCAAATTGTGGCAAATCAAAAAAAAATATGGAAATAAAAGCAAAATTGGACAAAATGATCCAGATTTCATAGCTCTAGCTTTTCTAGGAACCAAAATACAGCGATTTGAAGTTTGGGGGGGGGGGGGCGAGAGAGTGAGAGAGAGAGAGAGAGAGAGAGAGAGAGAGAGAGCAGACAGCCAGACACTCTTACTGTCTTCCTCTCTTCGAAACTTCAAATCGCTGTATCTCAGCTCCCAGATGAGCTAGAAGCATGAAACTTGGACTAAAAATCATCGTTTCAGCGTATTTTCAAATTTCGTTGACAAAACTCAAATTTAGAACAATTGTAATTGTGGAAAAATCTGAATTTTGCAGTTTTAGGACATTTTCATCCCACAGAAATTTAAAAAAAAAACAAAAAATTAGTGATTTTAGTGAAACAACCAGCGTTCTAGCTCATCTAGAACTCAAGATACAGTCGTTTGAAGTTTCGAGAGACGCAGACAGATAGAGTGTTTAGCTGTGTGCGCTCTCTCCCTCCCACACACTCTCTAACTTCGAATGCCTGTATCTCGGCTCACAGACAAGCTAGTAAGCTGGTTTTTTCACAGAATTACTGTATTTTTTGTCAGCAATATGAATTTACTGAAAATTTTGAATCCAAAAAATGACCCACCTTCAATTTTCATGTTTTGTGCATTTGTTTTGTGCTGTATATCGAATATACACGGAATATGTTATATGACACTGAAAAAATCAAGGAAATTGGCAGAAATTTCAAGAATTCAAGAAAAAAATATAACTGAAAAATGAAGGGGAGCAAAAAAGGGAAGGCAAAACGAGTGAGAAAAAAAAAGAAGAAAGAGGCGGGGAAATTGAATTTTAGGAGAGAAGTGTGAGCTTTTTGAAGAGCCAGAGAGAGAGAGTGAGAGACGCAGAGAAAAATGAGGAAAATAAAATCAAGTTTTTTTTCCAGAAAAAAATGAACCAGACACCATGTTTTTCAATTAAAATCGGGGGTCCGAGGCACCAGAAGGGAACACTATGAATTTGAGATTTTTTCCTCTTTTTTCGAGAAAAACAAGGAAGAAAAGTTTTTTTTGGAAATTCTGGAAAAACAGATAAAATCTGGAGAAAGAAAAATAGAAAACGGAAGAAAAATGAAGTTTCTAGGCCTCCTGGGACCCGAGATACGGCCGTTTGAGTTTGGAGAGGCGAGAGAGTGAGAGAGCGCAAACGGCGAGACACTCTAACTGTCTGCGTCTCTTCTAAACTTAAAATGGATATATCTCGAGTTCTAGATGAGCCAGAAAAGTGAAAATAGGTGGGATGGATATGGATTTTTATGGATTTTGTAAAATTCAAAAACTTTCGAAATTTTCAAAAAAAATTTCGAATTTTTTGAAAATCGAGAATTTTGGAATTTCTGAATTTCTGAATTTTCAAATTTTTGAATTTTTAATTGTTCAATTTCTGAATTTCTGATATTCTGAATTTTTCGAATTTCTGAATTTCTGAATTTCTCAATTTCAGAATCTCAGAATCTCGGAATCTCAGAATCTCAGAATCTCGGAATCTCAGAATCTGAGAACTTCAGAATTATGGAATTTCTGAATTTCTGAATTTCTGAATTTCTGAATTTCTGAATTTCTGAGTTTCTGAATTTCTGAATTTCTGAATTTCTGAATTTCTGAATTTCTGAATTTCTGAATTTCTGAATTTCTGAATTTCTGAATTTCTGAATTTCTGAATTTCTGAATTTCTGAATTTCTGAATTTCCGAATTTCTGAATTTCTGAATTTCTGAATCTCAGGATCTCGGCATCTCAGAACTTCAGAATCCCAAAATCTGAGAACTTCAGAAATATGGAATTTCATTTGAATTTTTGAATTTTTGAATTTTTGAATTTTTGAATTTTTGAATTTTTGAATTTTTGAATTTCGGAATTTCTGAATTTCTGAATTTCTGAAAAAAAAATTTTTCAAAAAAATTCAATATTGCTAAAAATGCAAATTTTCATATATTTTGGCTCGTTTATAGCAATTTCTTACATTCAAAAAACTAAAACTCCTTAAAAGTACCTAAAGTCAGATTTTTGAATTTTTGGAAAAAATTCTCCCTGATTTTCGATTCTGATGACAATTCTCACATAAATTTTGCGAACATTAAACAAGGGCAAATGATTGGAAAAGGCAAAAAAAACCCAAAAATTCCCCAAATTCAAAAAAAATCCTAGAATTCAAATTGTGGTCTTTTTTCCTATGACCTCAATCAGCACTCTATCTCTAACCCATACGGAAAACTCAACTGCACGTTTTGTCCACTACAGTAAGACAAAAAAACGAGGATGTGCAATGTAAAGACAGTGAGCAAATAGTGAGCTCAAAGAGCTCACTGCACTAAAAAAATGAGAAAAAGAGAAAAATGGTAAAAAACGGAACAAGGTTTGTGCCAAAATGATATTTGCCTATATTCATGTCCTTTTAGTTTTTCTTATCAACAAAGAATTTTTTTTAGAAATTTTTCAAGAGAAATTTGTGTTTACTTTTCAATTTTATGTCATTTTAATGGTGATAAATGTCATTTATCAAATCATTTTTTGAAATTATTGATTTTCAAGGGTTTAGACTAATTTCTAAGTGTTCTAACCTAATTCCTTGTGAAGAATCGGAATTTTTGCACTAAAAAAGTTGAAAATCGAAAAATTCGAACGAAAATTAGCAATTTTCGAGGGGCCTTAAGCTTCGAGGGACGCTTTTGACACTTATTGGAGTTTAGGCTCAATGTAGGCAATTTTCAAAGATTTGTTTGTAATGAAATTAAAAATTTAGATAAATTGAGAATATTGGCATTACAAAATGCCTAAATTCAAGGAAATCGGTTGAAAATGAATGATTTTATGAAGTTTTGAAGTTTTTTGAAAAAAATATCAAAAACAAATTTTTTTTTGGTTTTTTGGGACTTTTCCCTTTATTTGCTTTTGTTTAATGTTTGCAAAATTTATGGGAAAACGAAATCATAAAAATCGAAAATCGGGAAAAAAAATCAGAAATTCAGAAATTCGAAAATTCAGAAATTCAGAAATTCGAAAATTCAGAAATTCGAAAATTCAGAAATTCAGAAATTCAGAAATTCAGAAATTCGAAAATTCAGAAATTCAGAAATTCAGAAATTCAGAAATTCCGAAATTCAGAAATTCAGAAATTCAGAAATTCCGAAATTCAGAAATTCAGAAATTCAGAAATTCAGAAATTCAGAAATTCCGAAATTCAGAAATTCAGAAATTCAGAAATTCAGAAATTCAGAAATTCCGAAATTCAGAAATTCAGAAATTCAGAAATTCAGAAATTCAGAAATTCAGAAATTCCGAAATTCAGAAATTCAGAAATTCAGAAATTCCGAAATTCAGAAATTCAGAAATTCAGAAATTCAGAAATTCAGAAATTCAGAAATTCAGAAATTCAGAAATTCAGAAATTCCGAAATTCAGAAATTCAGAAAAAATATTATTAGTATTATGGCGATGACACTGTACTAATGGGTGTTGTTGTATAACAATTTCTTCTCGCCTGACCGTCTCTTCTTCCGATGACACTGTTCCACCCCACGAGAGAGTACTGTAGCTGAAGAGGGTCCAGACACATTATGCTAATGTTCCGACCCCAAAACGCGCGGCAGCCGGCCGGCCGGCCGTCGGAAAGAAAACGGACGAAGCGAGTGGAAAAGAAGAAGAAGAAGAAGGCATTTGAAATTCCCCACCCAACCCTCCTGCGTCTCTTTTTTCTATTATCTCTCGCTTGCCCCGCTACTACTCTCCTTTTGTTGTATATATGTTTGCGCAGCTGAACAAGAAGAAGAAGAAGAACGCGAATAATTGAGCCACCGGTCCTAGGTTTAGACGCAACAGGTGGATTTAGGAACCTCGAATTAGTCTATACGAAAAAATAAAAAGAAAAATATATACAGGCGCGGCGAGGAGTCGAACCTGGGAGGTCGAGATTGAGAGGCAAAAGCGTTGCCACTACACCAAACACGCCACTGTGGAAAAAGAGGGAAAGGTTGATAATATAATGAGAGGTGGTGGGCGCCGCGCGCTGGGCACTGGGGGACATCGGCGAGATGAGGCGTCCACCTTGGTGGAGGTTTGGTGTAGTGGTCTGGCCCTAGGTTTTGGTGCGAGAGGTCATAGGTTCAATTCCCACTAGATTCCAATAGTTTTTTGATGTTTTTCTAGGTAAGAAAACACTTTTTCACAATAGTTTGAGCTTGGAAAACTAAAATTTTCAAAAAAAACTTGCAAAAAAATTGTTAAAAATTAGAAAATAATTTTGTTTCCTGGTTCTTGATTTAATTTTCTATAGTTCTGAGACTCAAAGAAGAGTTCAGATCCATATATCTAGAGAAAAAAAAATTGTGTCCCATGAGAGTTCCAGACAAAAGCGAGCGTTTGAGTGACAAATGACCCTTTGGGGGAAAAGAAGAGAAGCGCATTTTGTTTTTAGCTCTTCTCCTTTTTTTCCCATGATTTTTCGTGTAAGAAGCTTTTTTCTTCCTCTTTTTCTCGACAAGATAAACCAGTTGACATGAAAAACGGAAGAAAAAACCAAAAAAGTTGAGTAAAATATGGTCCCAGAGGACTGAAAAGTGTCTAGATCGCTTTCTGATAGCTTACGAACCCCATACAAAAAACCAAAAAGGAAAATAGCCCTGGTGGAATTGAACCTACGACCTCTCGCATCAAAACCAAGCTCTGAGCCAATAGGCTGAACCTAACATACCAGGGTAAGCGCCACGATCCTGTGATAAACGAGGTGGTGGCGGCAACTTCTCGGCTGCGCCCTTGGCGCCGCCACCACCGCTTTCATCACACGCGCAGGTTTGGTGTATTGGCAAGAGGCTTGTCTACCGATCTAGAGGTCAAAAGTTCAATTTCCGGGGTCTCAATTTCTCTTTTGCTTTTTGTGACGATCATTGAAAACCCATTAAAACTGCCGGGCGAGGTGTGAAAAGACTCGAAAACCAGTTTTCAATTGCCATTCTCACCACGAGGCCATAGAATACAACACAAAAAGTGAAAAAATAATACATTAGAATTTTTGATTGAAATAGTAACATATAAAAAGGTCGTGGTAGTGGATATAAATATGAAGATAAACCACCACCGCCGTCCCGTCAAACAGCGAAAAGGGGCAAAATTGCCAACCAAAAGAAGGGAAAATAGAGATAGAGAGAGTGAAGAGAGTTCTAGAGAAAACTGGTAAAACGGAGAGATAGAGGGAGAGAATTAGAGAAAGAGCACCCCCAAAGAAGGGCCAAAAGAAGGGTTTAATGGGAGGGTTTGTCACAATTTGATGCTCCAAACGCCTTCTAAACACATCGAAACCCCGTGAAAATGAATAAAAAAGAATAAAAAAACGATTTGTCCTAGAGTGGAGTCGAACCCGCGACCTTCAGAACCATAGTCTAGCTTGCTAGCCACTACACCAAACCTGCACTAGCCGTACAGAACGCGGAGGTGGCGCAGCGCCACCACCACCCTCTTTCTCATATGCCATCGCACCTTACGTCTTCATGTGCACCCTTGGCGTAGTGGCTAAGGCAATAGCTTTTGAATCTGACACTTGTTGGTTCGACCCGGCACCTCGGCAAAGTAGCTTTTTTTCTTTTTTGTTTTGTTTTTAGGATAGTTTCGAATGCTTTTTATTGTAAAAACATCAAAAAGAGAGAACAACTGACTCAAAAAACGTCAGAAAAAAGGGGAAAACAAAAGAAAAAAGCGATTCATCTCACCTGAAAAAAATCCAAAGTGAGAAATTCGATACATTGCTCAGCGTTAATAAAGCAAGAGAGCTAGAATTTCAGTGTGCTCTTTTTTCTCGAGGACAATTTAATAAGAAAAAGGGAGAAAATCTGGAAAATTTAATTTAGAAAATCTGAAAAAATATTTTTTTTTCAAAAACATTTTATATTAAAAAATGATGTAAAAGTGAAGAAAATCAATCAAAAGATAACAATAAGGGATCAACAAATCAACAAAAAATGAACAACTTGAAAGTATTGAAAAATCAAAAATTTCAAAAAAAAAATTTTTTTCGAAATTGCTCAGCTTAAAATTTATCAGTCATATCCACTCTCCATAATCCATTGGTCCACCTTACGGTAGGCTTCGACATCCTTCAGATTCATGTGCCAGAACACTCGCATTCCCTGGAAAAAGCGGGAAATTTGAAATTTTGAATTTTTTCAAAATTTCAAAATAGGCCCATTTAGGCCTATTTAGGCCCAGTCCAGACCCATTTTTGTGAGAAATTCGACTTTTTAGCTCATTTTATACGGAATTGATCATTTTCAGAAATTTCGAAAAAAAAACATGTTTTTTTTCGAAATTCCCAAATAGGTCTATTTAGGCCTGTTCAGGCCTATCTAGGCCCAACTAGGCCCATTTTTCGCCCAAAATTCGAATTATGAGCTCCAAAATAGGCCTACCTTGGCCCATCTATGCCCAATTAGGCCCCCTTCAGGCCTAATTTTTGCACAAAATTCGGTTTTTCCACTCATTTTAACTCACAATTTTCCTAAAACTCACCTCAGACAGCATTTCGAATTTGGCTCGTTTTTGCGGGTTCACAACCGGCTCAAAGACGCGTCTGAGCACGGATTCTGGAGATTTCGCAATTCCGATGAACAGTTTCTTCAGGATTACTGTAAGTGCCGCGGATCGTGTCGCCCATTCGACAGTCTGAAATTTAGGACGATTTTTGGCTGAAAAAATCCGATTGCTCAGCTTAAAATTGCTCAAAGTTGTCAAAAATTTTATTCTTCTGGCTCAAAATTGCTCATTTTCAGCCTGAAATTGCTCACCTTGAGTACCGTAATCGACATGACCTCATTTGCGATGAGGTACTGTAGAAGCTGAGCAATCGACGATCGCTGATAGGGTTTCAGTTGGTCACACTCACGAAGACGGTCCCACAGGGCGAATTGGAGAGTGATCTGGAATTTTTTTCTGGAATTCGAAAATAGGCCTTTTTAGGCCTGACAAAATTTTAGGCCTGTAAAATTTTAGGCTTATAAATTTTTTAGGCCTGTAAAATTTTAGGCTTGTAAAATTTTTAGGCATGTAAAATTTTAGGCTTGTAAAATTTTTAGGCCAGTAAAATTTTAGGCTTGTAAAATTTTTAGGCATGTAAAATTTTAGGCTTGTAAAATTTTTAGGCCAGTAAAATTTTAGGCCTGTAAAATTTTAGGCTTATAAATTTTTTAGGCCTGTAAAATTTTAGGCTTGTAAAATTTTTAGGCATGTAAAATTTTAGGCTTGTAAAATTTTTAGGCCAGTAAAATTTCTAGGACTGTAAAATTTTTAGGTCTGTAAAACCTGTAAAAAATTAAGGCCTGCCAAATTTTTAGGCCTTAAAAAGGGCCTTTTTAAAAGGCCTGTTCTGGTCTTCAAAAAGTACCTATTTTGGCCTTAAAATGACCAATTCTGGCTGAAAAAAAGGCCTAAAATAGGGCCCAAAAACAGCCTAAAAGCCCCAAAACCCACCACAAATCTCCTATTAAATTCACAGAATCGCTGAAGAAGTGTCGCGTAGAATGCGTTGAACGTCTTCTCCTTCATCATCATCGCTATCAGGACATGGACCAGTTCTCGCTCCTTTTCCCCCTTCAACTGAAGTTTCAGAAGACGTTCGAAGGCGTCGTCCTCGTCATCGGCGGTGGCTGAAAATTTGATTTAAAATGAGCCAAAATAGGCCTAAAACAGCTCGAATTAGACCTTGGAGGGCCTTAAATGGGCCTAAAATGACCTAAAAAGGGACCTAAAGTGACTCACCAACACTACAAAAGATGTGACGTCGAATCTCAGAATTCATGCCGGCCTTCGTCGCCAGTGCGACGACTTCTGGTGGGAATGACGTCGTCTTCTTGGGATTGGCGCCTGCGGCTGACGCCAGAAGGCCGTAGCCGCCTTGTTCGGGCAATCGGAATGCCGATCCGATGATCCACCTGAAATAGGCCGATTTAAGCTATTGTAGGCTTTTTTGAGGCTGATTTAGGCTATTCAAAGGCAGTATTAGGCCTTAAAAAAAGGCCCTTTTCAAATGATTTTTAAGTTAAAATATATTTCCCTAGACAATTTCAGGCCTTTTTAGGCTTTTCAGGCCAATTTAGACTTGTTAGGCTGGTTTAGGTTTTTAGGCCTATTTTAAGGCTTTTCAGGCTAGCTTAGGCCTTTTTACAGGTCGATTAAGGAACATTTTAAGGCTCGTAGGCTGATTCAGGCTTTTTAGGCTGATTTCATAAAATGTTACAGGTCTAAAAATTACAAGCCTAAAATCTTTACATACCTATATATTTTATAGGCCTAAAAACTTTTTCCTAGACAAATTAGGCCTCTTTTCAGGCTTTTCAGGCCGATTCTATATTATTACAAGACAAAAAATTTTACAGGCCTAAAAACATTACATACCTAAAAATATTACAAACCTGAAACCTTTACAGGCCTAAAATGGTAATTTTTCTAGGCTTCAAGCTTTTTGAGGCTTTTCAGGCCTTTTTAGGTCTATTTTTAAGTGAAAATCTCACCATCTTCCTCTCTCCTCGGCGTGCAACAAATCGATCAGTGTCATCGATAGTTCTTTGGAATCCGAGGAGGCGGAGCTTCCTTTCTCTGCAAAAATCGATATTTTTAGGCCATTCAGGCTGAAATAGGCCTTTTTCAGGCGTGTAGGAAACAAAGTTAGGCCCTAAAATAGACTTTTGGGATCGAAAATGGTCTAAAACAGGCCATTTCGGGCTAAAAAAGAAAAATTGGCACCGTGCCAAGATTTCAAATTTGATCATTTTAAGGCGTTTTCAGGCTAAAATAGGCCATTTTAGACCATTCTGGACCAAACTTGGACCTCAAAACATGATTTTCCTGCACCAAAACTCACTTTTAGTGATTCCATGGAGCACTTTGACTTGCCGCTCCACCACTTCATAATCAATGGCTTTTGGTGGGGCCTTTTTTAGGCCTATCACCTCTTCCAGCAAAAATTTCGCACGTGGCAGTGCTGAAATCGGCTTTTTCTGAAAATCCGCGGCGATTTTATCGATTTTCGCAGTGATTTGTGGCCAGGCCGTCTTTTTGAGCGATTTATAGGCGTCTGAAAATGGGAAAATTTTTTAGGCTTTTTTAGGCCCTAAAACTCACAAGCAACAATAGTTCGGACTGCAAAAAGGTTGGTTAGATTCAAATTTCCCTCCAATTTTTCCACAATTTCAACGAGAATCGCTGGTTGGAGAATCTGCAAAACTACAGTAATCCTACAGTAAGCTACAGTAACCTAATTACCCGAAAAACGACTAAAAACGCCGTGAAAACTACACGATTCTCCATGGATTTGTCGTCGGGCTCCTCCGCGTCGGAAATCGATTTTACCAAGTCACAAAGGAAACATTCGACGAAGTGGGCCGCTGAAAATAGGCGTTTACAGGCTTTTTTCTAGGCTTATTTAGGCCGAAAATAGGCTTTTTAGGCCAAAAATATAAAAGTTTTTAGCCAAAAAAATTTTAGGCTTGTAAAATTTTTAAGGCCTGTAAAATTTTTAAGCCTGTAAAATTTCTAAGTTTGCAAAAAATGGTTCGGCTTGTAAAATTTTTTAGGCCTATCAAATTTCAAGGCTTAAAAAAATTTTAGGCCTGTCAAATTTTCAGGCTTGTAAAATTTTCAGGTCTGTAAAATTTTTAGACCTGCAACTGGCTCATTTTTCCGGGTTTTTAGGTCATTTTAATCCAATTTTAGGCCTTTTTAAACAATTTTTGGGTCATTTTCACCCGATTTTCAGCCAAATATCACTCACAAATCTCATTGCTAATCATTGTATGACACATCGTGATGAATGCTCCATATGTGGTGAGCAACGAGTCCTGCAGGCGGAATGGAGCCAGAAGAGCCTTTGATAGGCATTTGTAGAGTGCACTTTTGACATCTGAAAATAGGTAAAAGGGAAATTAGGGGGTAATTAGAGGGTAATTAGGGGTAATTAGACCAGTTTTAGGCCTTTCTAGAAGCCTGAAACTCGATTTTTGAGCTCAAAAACAGTCCCAGGACCCCCAAAACCTAGTTTTTCGCGATTTTTCAAAAAAGTGCTCAGATGGCCTAGTGGGATTTTCGACGAAAAATTTGGATCTAGAGATCGCTGGTTCGCTTCCCACCGGTGGCAAGTTCTTTTTTAAAGTTTTTTCTAGGGATTTTCAGGGGCGGGAAATTCAAAAATCGCGGTTAAAATACTCGGAAAAGCTGTTTTAGGCCATTTTCAGCCAATTTTCTCACCATTTTTTGAGCTATCCGCCCATAGCTCAGCGATCGCTTGTTGCGATTTGATCAACATGGCGTCTGACAGCTTATTGATAATACTGTTAACAGCTCGATCCACTTTCTGCTTCTGCTCTCCAGATGACGTTATCGCTGAATCCAGCTCTTCTAGTTTTCTCCGAGCCGCCGCCGGATCGAAACGAATCAGCTCTCCTGTCGATTTATTGATTTTTCGACCGTAAATGTCTTCGGAGACGACTTCTGGAGCTTCTGAAGTCGTGGTGACGTCTTCTGAATCCTCTTCTTCGTCCGTCACCATTTCATCAATCTGAAAATCAAAAATATGGTCCAAAAAGGTCCGAAATTGACGGAAAATGGTCTATTTTTTATAGATTTTTCAGAATTTTTGAAATAGCTCAAAACGGCTCGAAAAAGGTAGAAAATGGTCCAAAAAGGCCCAAAATCAACGAAAAAGAGACCACCTAAAATGGTCTAAAACAGTCTTCAAATAGATCTAAAATAGCTCAAAATGGTCTAAAATGGTCCAAATCTGGCCTATCTGAACCATTTTTAGACTTTTTTGGACTATTTTAGGCAGTTTTGGACGTTCTGTGAGCTATTTTTGACGTTTTTAGACCGTTTTTGGACTATTTTTGATTATTCAAGGTCATTTTTAGACGGTTTTGGACCATTTTCCAACCATTTTAGCCCGTTTCTGAACCTATTTTGACCATTTTTGGACTATTTAAGACCATTTTAGCTCTTTTTTGACCATTTTCAGACTGTTCTTGGTCCATTTTAGACCTTTTTCGGCTTCAGAATGCTCTAAAATTGCTCAAAATGACCCAAATTTTCCTTCAAAACCTCACCAAAGACTCCTCATCGTCGTCCTCGTCAACGTCTTCATCTCCTTCTGACAAATCCAACGCCTCCTCTTCCTTCTCCTCCTCCTTATCACTATCATCTTCAGATTGCTCATCCCTAAATTCGTCCTCCTCATCTTCCACGTCTTCATCATCATCGTCTAACTCATTCTCCATCAACTCTTTACGCCGTTCAGAATCGCAGAAATCGAGAAGCACTGAAAATAATGAAACTGGGGGTGGAAATGGCTGAAAATCGTCAAAAATAGGGTAAAAAAAATGGTCTAAACATGATCCAAAATGGCCTAAAATGGTAAAATGTCTTGAAAAGCCTTTAAATTGACCTAAAACAGCCTAAAACAGCATAAAATGGTCAAAAATAGGCCTAAAACGACTCAAAATGTCTTAAAATTAGCCTAAAAATCGCATTTTTAGACATTTTTTTTAACTATTTCAGACGATTTAAAGGCAATTTAGAGCATTTTAAATCATTTTCCGACTATTTTACACTATTTGGGACCATTTTTGGACTATTTTAGGCCATCTTTCGACTATATTGGACCATTTTTGGATAATTTTAGGCTATTTTTCAGTCAAATGGGACCGTTTTGGACCCTTTTTAGACTATTTTAGGCCATTTTTGGACTAATTTAGATTATTTTCAGCCAAATTCTAGCTTTTTCAGCTTATTTTTGGCTTAAAACAGCTCATTCTCCAACCAAAAATACCAAATTTTTGCTCAAAAATTCCCCCCAAAAAAAACGCACAATCCAATCCATCGGATTTCATCGATTTCGGCACTTTCATCTTGCCATCCCGCTCCTTTTTCTGCTCATTCACACCCAAAAGCACTCCGTATTTTCGAATGGCCGCGTCGTCGTCCTCGATTCCGTCCTGTTGATTTTCACGGCGTTTTTTGGTGGCTGACTGCAAGAAATAGGGTTAAAATCGGTGTCAAAAATCGATAATTCAGGTGGAAAATACTCGGAAAATCGTATTTTTTTCACCAGAAAACTAACTAAAAAATGACAAAAATTAGTCAAAAATTGACCAAAAATAAAATTTTTTAAAATTCGAATTTCCTTTTGCTGAAATTGTCTGAAAATCATAAATTTCGTGTTTAAAAATGATTTTTTTAAATGTAATAATACCCAGAAAATCGTATTTTCCACTTTAAAATCGCCTAAAAATGACCAAAATCGGTCGACAATCATGATTTTTGAATTTTTCTGAAAATTTCAGATTTTTAGCCATTTTCTTTCAGAAAACCTTCATTTTCGATGTTTCTGATCAGATTTTTAGCATTTCTAGCCTGGAAATACCCTCAAAATCGCATTTTTCACTTAGAAATTGCCTAAAATTGACCAAAGTCGGACAAAAATAAACATTTTTGAAGTTCGAATTTCCTTTGCTGAAATTGGCTGAAAATTGTGAATTTCGTGTTTAAAAATGACTTTTCGATGTAATAATACCCAGAAAATCGTATTTTCCACTTTAAAATCGCCTAAAAATGATAAATCGGTCAAAAAAAGATTTTTAGAAATGCCAATTTCTTGGCTGAAATTTACTGAAAATCGGACTTCTGCATATCAAAAATCGATGAAAAATAGCGTTTTTGGTGTGAAAATACACAGAAAATCGCATTTTTTTACCATAAAATTAGCTAAAAATGATGAAAATCGGTCAAAAATAGCAAATTCCAATTAATCTGAAAATTTCAGATTTTCAGCTATTTTTCAGTTTTCGACTTTTCTAGTCAAATTTTCAGCATTTCTGGGCTGAAAATAGCTTACAAATTGCATTTTTCAGGTACAAATGCGCTAAAAATGACGAAATTTCACTGAAAATGGTCAAAAATGGAATTTTCAGAAATTCCAAAAAATTTCCCCCACCTGAACCTCTTCTAGATATTGCTCATATGTCAGATCTTCATCAGAATCCTCACTTTCGTCTCCATACTTCCTTTTTCCTTTATTCACGCTGATTTCTACGATTCCTTTGAATTTTTTGGCGGAATTCTGAATTTTTAAAATTTTTGGCTAAAATTTTTTTCCAGAATTTTCACCTCTTCTTCGTCTTCAGCATTTTCTAGATCATCGTCGTCCTCATCAGAATCCTCCGAATCCCCATTTTTTCGCTGTTTTTGCTGCAAAAATTCCATTTTCCTTGCTTCCTTCTTCGCTTCCGCCTGTCTCTTCCGTTTCCGCTTCTTTTTGTCTTCTTTCGTCATTCCCATCGTCTCGCGCATCACTTGTTCTATCTGAAACCCAAAAAAAATTCCAGAAAAATCTTCAAAATCCCATTTTTACCGGTGTTCTTTGAGCAAATGCCTTGGCTTGCATCTTTTTCAGCTGTTTCGCCGATTTTCTCTGCTCTTTTCGAGACATTCCGTCTTTTTTGAACGCTGGCAACTTCATTTTACCCTGGAAAAGTGGAAAATTCGAGAAAAAACGGGGAAAATTGAGGAAAAATCGTTGAAAATCGTTGAAAAACCAATGCATTTTCTCTGCTGTCTCCTCGATTTGCCCGCTCTCTAGGCGTGCAACGGGGCGCGCTTGCATTCTCATTCAAAGAAAATACTGATTTATAGTGACTTTCACTAGTTAAGTCTGAATTTCGACATTTTTCAAATACATGATGGTGTTTAACAAACAAAGACAAATCGATTGATATGCAAAACTTTATTTTTTCATGTAAAATACGTTTAGAAAATACCAGTAATAGAGATCAAGCTGTTAAACAGCGCTAAAATCAAAATTTCAGCTTGTCAGAAGTGCGGTTTCAATATGAAACAATCTAGAAAAATCCATTAAATTAATCGATCTAATCATATTCCGGATGATTTCTCAACGAATCGTACAGCTCTTGCTCGCCATGCTCGCCAGTGAAAATCTTGTGGACACTGGTGAAAATCGGGAACTTTTCAGTGATTTCATGAATTTCCAGCATTTCGAAGACGTCCTGAGCAGTTGGTGGTCCTTGTGCACTTTGTCCTTTCAGCAGTTCTTGCTCAACAATGTGAAGGGGCTGGAAAAAAGAGGAAATTTGAGTTTAGTAGGTGGCTAACTCTATTAAAAACTAGTGAACAGCACTCTAAACTACTTCAAACAGTCCCTCGAAAAAAGCAAAAAATATTTTCCCTATGTGGGATTCGAACCCGCGACCTCTAGATCTAACGTCTAGAGCACTACCACTACACCAAGTGTGCGGAAGTTTTGGTGTTTTCGGGAACATATAGAGAAAGAGGGTAGCGGCGGCGCCTGTGGGTGGTGGAACGGCGGGAGCCTCCACCCTGCGTCACCAAACCATTGCCGACAGCTTGATGTAGTGGTTGTGAGCTGGACTTTGATGCGAAGGGTTTCTGGTTCAATTCCCACCAGGACTAAATCTTTTTTGCTTTTTGTGAGGACCATTTTCCAGGTTGTCCGAGACCCCCAAATCTTTTATAAAGTAGTTTTTCAAAATTTGTTAAAATCTTTAGCTCTTATCAATCTAAAATTTTCAATTGATTCGACTATTTTCTCATCAAAATAATCAAGTTTTTCAATGCTATTTCAAAAGTTCAAAACCATTATCATTCTTGTACTTTGTGTGTTGTCTCACCTTATCACTTTTAATGAAGGCCTCTGCAACTTTTCGATTTCTACCACCATAGCAAGTGGTGATAAGATCAGCGACTCCACAAGATTCGAAATATGTGTGATGGGATGACGGATAAAAGTGCTCTACGAATTTTTTGGTCTCCAAGAGTCCCAAACGAATGATGGCCGACTTTACGTTGTAGGCCCATCCTAGGCCATCAGCGAATCCTGCGGCGCAGGCGACAATGTTCTGAAAAAATTAAAATATAGGTGAATGTGAAGAGAAAGTAAAATTTGCAACTTTTCAAGCTAAAATTCGTGAAAATCGGTTGAAAACCACCCGAGTTATGAGCGTTTGAAGTTAGAGCTCTATTTCTATAGTGCGAGCCAGGGTGTTTGGAGTGCAGTGGAGCGAATTTGCAAATTCACAATGTACGTTTAATATTATTTGAAAGCCCGTAAAATGACACACAATTTGATATAATATTCAGTTTTCTAGCTCAAAAACTAGCTGAGTTACGGTAACTTGAAGTTTCGGAATTCAACTTTTTCAAAAGCCAAAAATTCAAATTACCGTAACTTTTTTAGTTTTGTAGCTAGAACAATGAAAGAAAGCTTAGAATGTGGGAAATCTTTTTGGCTTCATTTTAATAGTGCATGCAAAACAAGAAAATGGATGTGCGCTCTATTACAAGCTGGTTTCTAATAGCTACCCGATGTTAACGCATTCACTAACTTTAAGGGTTCATATCTCAGCTAGTTTAAATTCTGGAGTAACGGTTTTTATATCAAAATGTGTGAAATAAACTTGGCTTTCGAATGATTGCACATTCAAAAAAAGTTGAATGCAACTGCGCTCCACTGCACTCCAAACACCCCAGCTGTCTCTTTGGAGCTATAGGGCTAACTTCAAACGGTCATAACTCGGCTGCTTTTTAAGATTTTCTAGGCGTGTTTTGTATTAAAAAAATCCTCAAACCCTTACCTTCAAGGCTCCACAAAGCTCCACGGCCTCATAATCCGTTGTGACACGAATTCTGAAGTTTGGCGTATTAAACAACATCTTCAGCTCCTCTCCGTTCTCCAAACTCTTACATCCAATCGTTGCTTCACAAAATTTGCCATCCGCGACCTCTCCAGCCAAATTGGCACCCATCAAAACACTACACTCGACTCCCAGCGCCTTCTCAATGTCTTCAGAAATCAATTGCATTCTGATGACGTCATTTTCAGATGTCGATGAGATTCCTTTGGTTAAAGAGACCGCGTGAGCACCGTCTCGAAGATTTCCGCGGAGTTCTGAGCAAATTTGAGGGATTCCTTGATGGGGGACCACCAGGATTAGAATATGAGCGGATTCACAAGCATCTAAAAGTGAAGACGTGGCGATGACGTTGGATGGGATTCGGCGTCCCGGGAGGTATTTCGGGTTCTCATGAGTTGCATTTATGGTCTCGGCAATTGATGGGGTGGTGTCTCCGGGCTTCTAAAATAAGAAAAATGGGGATTATATGGTAGAGCGAAAAAATAAAAAGAAAAAGAGAGCGGGTGGGATCGAACCAAATAGTGTTAGATTCGAAAAGACGCCTTAGCCCACTAGGCCACGCGGAAAAGTTGAAATACGGGTGCCATAGTGTATAAGAAAGGGGGGTGGTGGTGGTAGCCGGAGGGCAACGAGGGGCGCCGCCACCTTACGGCAAACGCACCAAGTACCAATGTGGCGCAACCGGTAACAACTTTGTCTTTCAATCTGAAGGTCACGGGTTCAATTCCCATTGAAGCCTAATTTCATTTGATTTTTGTGCTGGGCACCATAGGCCCCCTAGAAAGTCTCTATACCTCCTGAAAAGCAAACTCACCCTGGAATCTCTGCACCACATGCTCACAATCGGCTGGAAAACGTCGTCCTGGGCTTTTACGGTCTTTCCAACAACACAAGCAATCGCGGATCCCCAATTTCCACCTCCAACAATGGCGATTTTCTTTCTGGAGTCTCCACGGAGCTCATCTGAGTTGTTGTTGAAGCAATAGTCGAAATTTTGGCAGGGCATGATTTAGGTAATAGCAGTAAAAACTGTACTTTCACCCTGTCTACCACTGATCTTTTATACTCCTTCCACCCATCCATCCAAAGTTCCGTGTCTCCTTCAAAAGTCATAGGCCCCGCCCCCTTCCCTCTTATCTTTAGGAAAGATCACTGATAAGTGATACCAGCCATCTTCACGTGGACACTCTTTAAAAGTCACTGTCGGGTGAGAGAGTATAGGAAGGCAAGGAGACGCAGAGTTTCTTGGAATTCTTCAGAAAGAGAACTAGATGGGGAGATAGAGATAGGAGACGGAGAACAGTGATCTATAAGCGTCAGGGACCAAAGATCGGGGTGGTATGCAAATTACGGTTTGCAGAGATCCGTTAGACTTTGTCCTTGTTGATCTTTGGTCTTCTTTAGAGCTTTTTGGGTGGCTAACTCTGTCAAAAACTAGGAAAGAACTAGTAAGAATGACTCTAAACAACTTCAAATAGCTCCTCGAAAAAAGCAAAAAAGATTTGACCTCGGTAGGATTCGAACCCGCGACCTCTAGATCCAAAGTCTAGAGCGCTACCACTACACCAAGTGTGCAAATATTTTGGCGCCTTCTTAAGTCCATAGAAAAAGGGGTGGTCGTGGCGCCCGGTGGGTGGTGGCGCGGGAGCCTCCCCCACCATTGTGGTGTAGTGGTTGTGTGCTGGGATTCCATGCGAAGGGTTTCTGGTTCAATTCCCATCAAGTCTTAATCTTTATTGCTTTTTATGAGGACCATTTTCAAGGTCATCCCAAGTCCTAGAACCTTCTAGAAAGTATTTTTCCAGAGTTTTGGGTCCAAAAAAGTTAGTATTTTGACCTGAATATCAAATTTCACGTGAATGACATCACACTTTACTGTACTACGACTGTTTGACGCACTTTTCAGATAAAAATTGTACGAAAGGAGAAAGTATGGGAGATGGAGAGACCGTGAGGGGTGTCAATGAACAGAACGGCGTCAATGATCAGTTTCGGGGGCTATTTTTGGATTCTCTAGACCTACAAAACTTTGTACAACTTGAGAAAAAGTACAGTAACGTGAATTTGAAATGAATTTGAAGGAACATCTGGAGATCAGGACACACAGACAGACATTTCTTTTTAAAGCCGATTTTTGTCCATTTTAGCCCGTTTTTGACCCTCTAAAAATGACATATGGCCTTTTACAATGCTTTTTTTGTGTTTTTTCACACTAATTAGATTAATAGGCATGTTGAAAACCATAGAAAAACATACAAAAAAGGCGGCTTATCCGATTGCGTCATATAATTACAAAGGGAGGCGTATTAGAGTAATTAGGTCAACTGGGGAAAGGTCAAAAATGAAAATAATTGTTCATTCTCGACTCATTTGTGCATTTGCGACAAGAAAATTTCGGATTTTCAAAAAAAAAAAGATTTTTTTTGAAAATAATTTTTTTGAAAATTTTTTCTTTTGATCATAACGTTTTTCATTTTTGACCCATTCTCATGAAATGTATATTTTTGAAAACCTCAATGTTTCAGCTTTGAAATGAGTAAAATCATGACCTAGTTTCTCTCGAAAGAAGGGGCACGCGCCTTCGAGAGGGTTACGGTATTAGAGTAATTGTTTGTTTTGATGATAACTTTGTTCATTGTCGGTCAATTTTTGTGTAACTTATATGTTTGGATTTCTCACAAATTCTTCTTTCAAATGAGTTTAATCGTGATCTACTTTTTTTGATTTTTGCGCCATAAGCCTTTAAAAGACGCACTATGGAGACAGAGAAGAGGTACGGTAGTTTTTGTGATGGGGGTCTTATAATGTTAATGTTTTTATAGTATTATAAAATTTCAAAGCATAGTTATCCGATGGTTCGGATTCAGTGGCCTTTGTAAACGATAAAAAGAGATTTAGTCGAGAAAATTACTAATTTATCCTTATCCAAGGACTAAAATAGTACAAACTATATAAAATATTATGGAAAACCAGCAAAAAACCCTATTAAAAACACTCAACCAAAACCTAAAAACCAAAAACACGACTTGCCACGTCGTCGGCGAGACGGGCGGTACGCGTACGGCATCAGCGGAATAGCGGAGCGTCGTTGCGAGTGGGCGCGTAGTACCGTAAGAAAGGGTTGATGAGTTGGCGGGCGCAAACAGAACAACAATAAAAAATTAATATATTCGGCTCCTTCGCCTTGTCCTCAATTTGCACGGTGCTTCTTGATTTTTGGCTCTGAGTCCTCAACGTCTGCTCTCAGTCGATCCACCAACGAGTGGCCTGGGATGGCGCACGCCAAGTATTCCATCATCTTCTCCAGCGATCCTGGTTTCAAGTCGCAGAGGATCAACGGCATCTTCTTGGGTCCTACTGGAGTCATTGGATCCACGACTTCCACATTCAGCGCCGTCTTCCTTACTTTCTGCCATGTTTCGGTGACTCCTCCAACCTCGTCGTATCCGCACTCCATTCTTGCCGGTACCACCACCAATTCCCAAACTTCCTTGGCTATCTCCTCCACCAAGTTCACCACCGGCGCCAGTATCATGTCTTGTTTCCTCGACGTCAGCGCGGTATCTCCCAACGCCTTCTTCACACTCTCCACCATTTCTTCAGACTTCTCGACGAACTTTTTGAAGCCTTTGATTCTTTTCATTTTTTCTCTCACGCTCACCTTGGACTCTTCCATCTCGGTGAAATCTGCCCACAGCGATCCGTCGTTGCTGCTTCCTCCTGCTTGCCGCTCCGCCTCTCCATCCTTCTCAGCCGGCTGTGCCATCTCAACGTCCTCCATTTCGTTCCTCGTCGTTCGTTTTTGCTCTGGAATTCCAAACGTTTTATACTACGCTTTCTCTTCGCCAATCAATCGATTTATACGCCAACGATACTATTTCCGTTAAATTTATCCAAATTTCACGAAAATTGCTTTTATTCCTCTGAAACTTTTGAAATCGACTGGGTTTTATACTCGCCCAATCGATACCTTCAAAAATCTACAGCGAAACAAGCGTAAACAGACGAAAAAATACGGTTCGGCCCCCAAGTTATCCGATGGTTCGGATTCAGTGGCCTTTGTAAACGATAAAAAGAGATTTAGTCGAGAAAATTACTAATTTATCCTTATCCAAGGACTAAAATAGTACAAACGATATAAAATATTATGGAAAACCAGCAAAAAACCCTATTAAAAACACTCAACCAAAACCTAAAAACCAAAAACACGACTTGCCACGTCGTCGGCGAGACGGGCGGTACGCGTACGGCATCAGCGGAGTAGCGGAGCGTCGTTGCGAATGGGCGCGTAGTACCGTAAGAAAGGGTTGATGAGTTGGCGGGCATGCCTACCGGCAACTGCATCCCAAAACCCAAGAATTAATCCTAAATAAAATCCTAAAAATTCCAAGTTTTTCTCATTTTACACTAACAAAACTCGTTTTTTCTCGATTTTCCCCAATTCCGAGGTTTTTTTTCGCGAATTTCATTGTTATTTTCACATTTTTCACACCAGATGTACCTTAAAATGCATTTTAAACCTTCCAAATCGGTCAATTTCCCATAAAAAAGAATTAAAGTAAAAGTGGGCGGAGCGTCGGCACACACAAAGTATAGTGGGCGGCGGAACCCGGGAGATGTCGGCCGCTGCGGGGACAGACTACCCGGCGGCGCGCAGATATCGACGCCTCAATGAAGATAAACACCGATCCATCGAGTGACATCTTGCTGATAGTTGTACGTCAGTCGGAGAGGTAGAATACAATTTTTGGAAGACTTGAAAATTCAGTAGACATTTAGACGACGTCACGTCATCTGGGAATTTTGTTGTTTTGGTTACAAATTGCCATTCATCAGCATAACAAGATTAGTGAAAGATTAACAAATAGATGGCAAATGGAGTCCTGGATTTGTTATTTTTGAATGTGTAGCATTTTTTTCAGATTGCTAATCCTTATTTATTCCAGCTATATGCTTTTTTCTTGCACACCTTCATTTTCAGCCAAAATTTCTGGAATTTCAGCTTGCCTACAGTAACCGAAAGAATGACAACTACATCATCCACCAATTTCGACGAATTCCAACGCTACCGTATCCCGAACCACTACGTCCAGTGGTATGAGCTAGAACCGACTTTCAATGTGTTTTCCAATCCGAATCCAATGAATTCATCTGGAAACAACTGTACGACGTCCCAGGAATCTGGGGATCAGAAGAAGAAGAAGATACGGTAGGAAAAATTCCAGAAAAAATGAGCTGAGAATTATAAAAATTGAATGAAAATGAACAAAGTTATGGGGATTGGAAAATTTACATTTTTTCAAAAATTTCAAAAAATTTTTTTTTCAAAAATCCATAACTTTTTTTATTTTCCGCCAAATTTTATGATTTTTATACCAAAATGTAGGAAATTTTATGGGCTTTTAGAAAATGTATAATGTTAAACATATTATTTTAGTGTTAGTGTTGGTTTTTCAAAATTTCCCTACACACTCCTTATTTTGGATTTTTAAATTTTTAAATTTCATAACTTTTTCGATATTTTTACGATTTTAATGTTTTTTATACTCAAATGTCGAAAATTTTATGGACTTTTTAAAAATATATACCACTAATATTCAAATGTCATAATTATCCAGATCCACGTCCGCCTACGCTCTCTTCTTCCGTGAGAAGCAGTCGATGGAGAAACGGGCGGCGCCATACGCGAATTTCGGTCAAATTTCACAAAGTATCGCGAGACAATGGGAAATGCTCAGTGAGCAAGAGAAAAATGTATTTAGATAATAATTAGAAGATAATTAAGGATAATTTAATATTTCAGATTTATAAGCAGCGATGTGAGAAAAGCCGAAAAACAAGCATCGCAAATGCCGTGGAAGAGAGAGCCAGGAAGTTGATGATGGCTGCTACACAGAAACTACAGTAATCCGCTATATTCTACAGTAATCTCTTTTAATTACTGTTTCCTGTCCTTATTGTAGATTGTGATTAAAATGAACTTTTTTTTCCAATTTCAAAGTTTGAGTGTCATTTTGAAAAATTGTTCAACAAACGAGTTTTGGGGCATAGGTTCTGGAAATTTTGAAAGTATCTTCTAACCAAAAAGTTTTAGAATTTTTTTCCCAACATTTTCTGAAAAGATCAACTTTGAAAAGTTCATATTTGTGTTTCATATTCCGGAAGCAGTGCTCATCTTTCCTAGTGTTCTAATAAACCTATTTTTGACTTATTCCAATTTTTCAGTGTTCGTTTTTCGAAAATGTTTTGTGTGCTCTGATTTTGAAGAGTAATGAACCAATGACCTTGACTGTACTAACCCATTCCACTGGCATAACTTCCTAGCCTAGTTCAGTGCTCCATATTTTCAGGGTTGCAATCTGACGGGCTGGCCGGGCCGGCAATTAATTAATATTTGAACGCGCACCATTTTTATTTGCAACGATGCTCCGATATGACGAGGCGCGCATTGTTTAGCAGCCCGTGTCGATTTACGGGGGTTTGTTTTGTTTTTTTTTCGACGATTTTTTGCGTTTATCAACCGATTTTTCTCCTTTTTTTGTCGCGAATTGCCTGATAATCCTTATTTTTCATAAAATAATTATTTTCAGAGCAAACGACAGCCTACGGCTCGCCATCTCACTCACACCCCTCCCAAACTCGAAAAATGAGTTTCAAGATATCCAAATCAGACCTTCAATTGAAACTGAATAAAAAAGATAGTTAATTTTTTAATTTTCTCCCCCGGTTTCCATTTCTTTGTTTCCCCTTGTTCATTTATACGGTTTTTACATTGTTATGCTACTTGTTAAGAAATAAATTCAAATAATTCTTCAGTAATTTCTGTTTTTTCTTAAATTCGAACGGGCCGAACCGGCCGGGCCGGGCCGGAGAAAAAATAATCTCGGCCCGGCCGGTTGCAACCCTGCATATTTTGTCTATATAAATCAGTAATCAAGTGGAAAAAGACCAGAAAAGAACGACTTTTTGAGAACAACAATGACCGAAGAAGAAAAGGTAGATTGGAAGTAGTAGGGAATTGTCCTTTCTGGCGCAGCTTTTGGCCCACTTTTTTGAAATTTTTATTTTGCTGTTTTTTCAAGTTTTTTGCCCTAATTATTTTTTTTCATATAATATTCTTAGCAAAATCCACGATTTTCACACTCTCAGATTTTGGTGAACTGAGTTCACCCCCACTCACTTTCCCACTTTTGTCCCACTTTTTTTCAACCTCTCAAAACAGTCACTTTTCACTCCAACTGATAACAAATTCTCTACACTTAAACACTTTTTCAACTTTCTTATCAATTTGTTCTCATGTCAGAATGGTAAAGCGCCTGTCTTGTGTTTGAATGCTAGAAAGTTCGAAACCCACTCAAAAGCTCAGGATTATCCACTTAATGAGATCCGAAAAATATGCAAGAAAAATTGAAAAAAATCGAAAAAAAACGAAAAAAAAATCATGAAAAAAATCAGAAAAATCAGTCAAAAATTCTCGTCGAGCAAACATGAAAAAATCAACCGTCAGAACCATGAAGAAACGACAAAAAAATCAAGTGTTAACCAACACTCTTTTCATTCAATTCTTTACCATTATTACGTTTTATTAAATGCTGAACAATGATTTGAAGCCATTAACAAATGTAGATTTATTAGAAATAGCAAAAGAGTTACAAATCAAAGATTTCAGAGGTGTATTTATGAAGGATACTTTACCAGAAAAACGTAAAGAAGTAGAAGTAGGCATCATTAATCTTGATAGTTCAGATAATAAAGGTACTCATTGGGTCTGTTATAAAGTAAATAAAAGTGAATATTATTATTTTGATTCGTTTGGTTTGGACCCTCCTGAAGAAATAATAAAATATCTTAAACGTAATACTTCAAGCGAAATAATTACTTCAACATTTCAAATACAAAAATTTGATACTCATCATTGCGGATACTACTGCTTACTTTTTCTAAAATTATTAGAAAAACATGATTATAAAAATTCGATACTTACTTTGATTTAGGAATTCGATAATGTTCAAAAGCTAGTGTGTCTATATTATCTACTGTATACCTTTTAGATTCTTTATCTTTACCAACTAAATTATTTAACACATCTTTATTTTGTTTTACACTGTGGAGATTATGTGTGCTAGAGTTAATTAACATAAGTTGTCTTCTTTGGATAGTATGATTTAATAAGCAGTTCTTATAGTCATTAAAAGTCATTTCCTTTTTAACAACAGATTTCTTCACACCTTTATTTCTTTTAGACTCCATTCCCTCATCAGTTTTAAAAGCATATTGTTTTGGTCTAAAGGCTACAATTTCAGTCATTATTTTACCATTCAACTCATCTTTAAATTTACCAATAACTTTTTTGTTCTCAATGCTATGAAGTTTATTTTCTTTGGGATAATCCGAAAAATCAAAGTGCTCTTTCATAGCTAACATATCTTCATAGACATCGTCTGTTTTAATTTCATAAATATAAGAATCAGTATCTTGATAGCACAGTCTCAAATTTGAAGTATACTTCGGAAGCATAACATCATAGTGGAACTCATACATTAGATACTTGCTCAAATCTAAAATAGACATCCCACATAAATTGGCTTATCTAATTTAATATTCTTCTGAGTCATCTCTACTAAAATCATATTCTCATTTATAATATGTCTCTGTTTGAAATTATTACAAGCAGCTAGTTTCATAACTTTATTCATATCTGACACCACTTTAACATCCACTCTATTTCTAACGTTCTCCATAGTTTTACCAAAGACAGAATTGTTCATGAGCTTGAAAAAGTCTTTCTCAAAATCATTCTTAGCATTTTTTCTCAAGTTTGTATTCAATTCTATATAAGAGGCTAGCCAATTGCTTTCTTTAAAAGTAATAACTCTATGAATTTTCTTCAAAATTAATCCATGATCTAAAACTTGCAAAAGGGCTTTATAATGTATTACATAATTTCTCTTTGGACTGAAATCATTTATTAGTTTATTGGTAGATCCAACTCGTTTATTCTCTGGACAGAAAGGTAAATCATTATGTTTATCATGTAATTCTTCTGGATAATCTAAATCTACTTCTAGTATGCAACCTTTTTCTTTTGAAACAAGATCATCTATCATTTCTAAGGTAAAGTCTTCAACGAATTCGAATTCATCATATGGTAATTTCTGACTCATTGCCCATCCATATAAATTATTTGCATCTAGATATAATAAGTATTTTGATTCCTCTTCGGGATTATAATTTGACATATACTTGTTATTAGCTTTCGAATATCTTAGCATGGTATTACACATACCTCCTCGAATACCTTTTTCAATAAAATTATACATTTCAATATCCTTGATTGTCTGTAGCTTAACTCCAGTTTTCTTTAACATAGCATCCCAAGCTAATCCGGGAGATGTATAGTACCAACATGGATCTAACTTATATTCTTTGAGAGACACATTTCTGAAAGTTTCAAAAACATCAGCTAATAGTAGCACATCATTAATCATATAAATTCTAGTGTAGTCTTCTAAATTTTTACAATTTGTTTCCTTCCATACTTTCTGAGCATATTTATAACTCTCTTCACTAATATTTTCACCAGATAGAGCATTGTAGAAGTTTTCAATTGGAGGAAGTTCTTCGTTAGAATACTTTTTGAAGGAATCCATAAAATCATATGGATACACACCTTTGCGTCTTAATAGATTAAACATCTTTTCATTCTTGTAATACTTATTAGTAATCACACATTCTTCATCTTGTAGGTTACTGCTGAGATAGTCCAGACTGGAAGGCATAAAACCAAAACTATCTAAAAATCTTATTTCACATCGTTTAGGATTTTTGTATATATAACTGAAACTAATAAACTTTTCTATATTTGCTGAGATGCTTTTAATTTCAACACCTTTTTTCTTCAATAGTTTGCTTGATTCCTCATCACTAATTATATGATGTGAGTCATAGCCTTTAAGATTATGGAAAAACACTGGTATAAAATTATTTCTACATTTCAATAGGTTACATGCATTACATAGAGGCCCTCTGTATAATCCAGTCCAATGATCGTGATCTCTAACTTTATCCCCATCAAACACATTCTCACACTGAGGACATGAATTACAGTTATTATAACATTCTAACTCTTCATTGGTTAAATTTTTCATTTTCTCATCACCTTTATTCAATAGTCTTGCACATACATCTAAGATATACTCATTGAATTTTAAAATAGTATTATATCCAACATAGCTCTTCATTTCGTAAATACTCTGAGTGAAAGAATCCACAACAATCACACAGAATGCAGAGGCCTTATGTTTACCGACGTTCTCACTCCATGATTTGTTAGGAGAATTGTTAACAGAATCAATTTTATAGATAACAGATTCAAAATCGGCGTAACATACAAATCTATGTTTCTGTGTTTTCTGAATATTAGAAAATTCAATATAATCATTGGAAGGTTTAATCATTTGCATTGGAGCATTACTCATACAGTCACCTAAATGATTTTCAAACTTCTCTGCATTGTAAAAGTTATTATGACATCTAATACAAAATTTATTGCTTCTACTATTTTGGGTGTTCATCAATCTATCAATATTTTTAATCAAACAGTAATGACCTTCTCCAGAACTGTCTGTGACCAACAAAAGATTTATCACTCGATCGGCGTCTACTTTAATATTCTTCGATACTTTATATGACTCAATACGATTATCATCTCCCACATTGTGAGTAACAATATTAACGGCTAGTTTATTCATTTTCTCAAACTTATCTACATCTTTCACCTGGAATGGAAACTCAAAACCCTTAAAGTCAAGCTAAGAAACATGATCTTTATATTTGTTTACTCTTTGAGCATCCTTTTCAACTGGAAACAAGTGTGCTAGAATACACCACATAAAACATTTATCATCTTTGTTTTGAACATTGACTACTGCTTTTTTATTTTTTATCCAATCTGGGAGTTCAATGTATTTAGATCCTGATAATGGCTTAATCTTAGTTTGAGACATTCTCAAGCCAATAATTCTATTCAATCTAAATCCTGATCCTCTTCCTTGAAAATGTTCTAATCTATTTACTAAATCTAATTTTAATTTTTCATAAAAGACTTTTCTATCATCCGCCGGATTCACTATTTCGCTAGCTGTTTTTAGATGGACTATAGCCTTATCTTCTGTACCCTCTTTTATCATTTCACATTCTAAGGATACATATATTTTCACACTATTTTCATAAATTTTTTTCACAATATCAGGCCCTTTCTTATTTAAAAAGGATTCTAATGTTTTAGAATTTCCACTGTGAAAAGTATCTCTCAACGTATCACCAACTTCTTTGTAATCACTAAAGACAGTTTCATCGAAAGGAAATAGATCGCTAATTTGAAGATTTGACTTTTCGCTAAGTTCATCTATATCCAGCTGTTTGAGTATTTTACGCATTTCAGGCACGCTCATATTTCTAACATCATCTCTACTTGTGTTAGTTCTCTTTCTTACAAGTTTTCGCAGTTGATCCCTTCCCAATTTTTTGTAATCAACTTGTTCCATTTATAAAGCAATAAAAGTATCATTTAAAACCTATAATAAATTTTCAGAAATATTGAATAAATCAACCTAAAATCGATGATATTTCCTGTAATAAATGCATTCTATAGTTGAGATATATGACCCTAAAAAGCGAAATTTCATTGTTCAAGACTTTTTGAAAAATCAGAAAGAGCATAAAATCAAGAATTTACAAGAGCGATCAGATTTAGAACATGTAGAAGATTATAGAATTGAAGTATTTAAACCTATTTTAGAATCCAACAAAAAACTACAAGAAGAAATTATAGATGAAAAGAATAAAATAGTAGAAACTCTAAACAACTTTAAATCTCCTTCTCAACTTTCTATAGGACCTCCATCCACTTCGACACCAAAGACAAATCGTAAAAGTCTCATTAAGCAACCCTCAGTAATCTTACCTCCCTCTCTACCTAGTTCTTCTCCACCTCAAGTTGTAAGTAATCTAATTGTAAGTTATCTTCAAGATAATTCAGATAGAAGTAATGCTGGATACTCAATCAAGTTCAACAAAGCAGAAAAGAAGTATGCTATTGGTAACAAAGACATTACATTCGATCAGAATATTATCAAAGTTAATAATGAAGAATACACAGCAACTGAAGGGTTGATGGAGTTACTACTCAAAAAGTCTCCTGATCTAAACAAGGTTACAACTGAAGATTCTTCAAATTACCAAAAAATATTATTATGCTCCAATGCTCTGTACCAAGGTTTTGATAAAGAATCTAAAAGATACAATTCAGATTCTAGTGATAAATGGGCGTTCATAAAGTCTAAATATTTTGTAGCTAAGACCCCAACTACATCTTCAACATCAGGAAGTTCTATTTCTTTCATACCATCAAATACCAACTCTCTAATTGACTTATTAAGACTATCTATTGGTTCATATCAGGCTGGTAACAAAGACGAGTATAATAAAATCCATGCAATGTTAGATGAACTAGTCAAACAGAAAGTAATCAAGAAGAAAGACTTAGGGGTTATTTATTTGAACATTGGTATGTAATGTTATACAAAGTTATACTGTTTTATACAATGTTATATTATGTTATTAACTTCATACTAGATAAATGTCACGAAATATTGTTCTAGCAAAAATGTATATTAGTGATCAAGAAAAAACTCCACTCAAAATTGACAAGAGAAAATGGGTAAAACAGCACAATCTTTCTACTCAAACTTTATATAGAGGTTTATGGGAATTAGGTAAAGTGATGGATGTTTCTAAATACCTTGGATCTAAAAATCTTCCCAACCTGTAGAAAAAGTATCTTTCCAAACTCTAGAAACCCCCAATCAATGCAACAGAATAAATCTTCTTTCTCCTAGAGAAAACTAATTTTTCTATTCTGACTTTTTGAACTTGATTTTTTGGTGTAATAAATGAGTAAAGTAATGACTATAGAGAAAATGAATAAAGCTACTGAAAATAAAAAAATAATAGACCAGCTAGATAATATAGGAATAACAGCACATGGAGTCGGTTATAAAGACAAGTTAAATTATATGATTCTTCTATCTAACAATATTGATAAAGTTCCAGACCTATCTCCTGATACAAAAGAAGATTTAGAAAAAATGAAGAATGAAATTGAAAAAGCGAATAAACTGGCAAAATCGGAACCAGTTGAAAGTAAAAAACATTATTTAAATGCTGCCAAATACTATAACAATTTTACTGAGGCTCATGGAATGAATCTTAATTTTCTATTAACAGGAGCTAGAAATCAAATCAAAGTTCTATCAGAAACAGCTTCACAATATTCTAGAGATATTGCTGCAGAAATGGCTGAACAAAATAAACAACTAATTAGTGAAAATAAATCTATAGAGGAAAGGAGGAAAAATCAAGGTTTTTTTTGAGCAACTGTTCTCCAACACAGAAAGATTTAATTGATACACTTTGTATAGATATAATTATAAAACATATTGTTAAATATTGGCCTAATCCTCCTGAAACAATCAATATTTATACTGGCCGAAAGAATAATACAGACACAAAAATATACTTAACAAAGAAAGAGCAGAAACCATACAAAGAGACACCAGGTAGATTCTTGTCAAAGGATGGGGTTGGAGTGGATGTAAAGAAATTTGTGTTGTCTTATTTTAATGAAGTGAGTGAACAACTAAGCACTAATAATATCAAAAATCCTAAGGATGAAATATCAAAATGGTTGGAAACTAATAAGTAGAAGAATGTATCAAACCGTCAGTAAATGCCATAGATAATAACATTTTTCTTCTTTCATTTTCTGATATACTATCTTTAATTCTTTTATCTGGAACATCAGTATTAGCTCTGCGATATAACTGCTCAACATCTTTTAAACTCAATAGGTGTTCATCCTCTTCAGATATAAAAACAGATGCCCTTGAATTGTATAAAAACTTTATATCATCCTCGGATGTGATGATATAGTGGGTATCATTTTTTATTGACGGAACATTTTCATTTGTATTCCCTCTAATTTCAAAATCGATTTTATTAATTGGTGTATTCTTTTTATTGAATCTAGTTGTATCTCTAGTTTGTTCTATATCTATGATGTTGTCTCCATATGGACCATATCTATTACAAAAAAGTTTGTCGTTACAATATAAAAATATCGGTTCGGATCCTCCATGAAATTTTGTTTTATAACTTTTATCTATATCTTTTCTTAGCTTATCATTTTTAGTGAAGAAAAAGTATTTCTCGATTTTATCAAAAGTTATTAGTTCGTCTGTTAACTTGCGTTCAGATGACAAGAAGTAAAATACTTCAGGAGATTCTCTCTCATAATCATCGTTTCTAATTTTCGAGTGTTTATTCCGACAAGCCTTATTACATGTGTGTTTGTGTAGATACATATGTGGTCTATGAGGTCTGTAGATGATAGACTCGTCTTCCATTTAATCATACTTTATTTATCGTTTTTTCCGTTTTTCCGTTTTTACGATCTCCTTTCTTTCTGACCTTTTTTTTCTGGACTCTTTTATTATTCCGTATTACATACTAAAACGGAAATACGGAAATACGGAAATACGGAAATACGGAAAAAAGGAAAAACGGAAAAACGGAAATACGGAAATACGGAATAATAAAAGAGTCCAGAAAAATAAACATGAAAAATAAAAAGTATAGCCCAAAAATAGACAGTCAAAAGATATAAAAATACTTGAGCATCTTCTAAATTTACCACTATCTGCTTCACTAGTCTTATCAATAATCAAAAAAGAAAATTTCTCTTTCCAAATCTCTGAAGACATCTCTAAAAATCTTTCTTTATCTAATTCACTACAATGATCTCTGTAAATATAATCCAAGTTTAACTTGTCTTGAGGAAACACTATAAACAAATTAGCGTTCTCTCTTATAGTATTCTTAGGAAGTTTAATATAGCTTTGAGAAATGTAAAAACAATCAATGTTATTATGTCTACCTCTAGTGTAGTACTGTTCTATTTTATTTTGTTTCTCCAACATCAAGTCATCAAATATTATTAGAGTCTTTTTATTAGGATCAATAGAACTTGGATCAGGAATATCATCTAAACTATCTGAAGTGTGAATAGTTATTTCTTGTTTATCTTTTTTCTCAACCATAAAATTCTGATTCTTAAAGCATTCTCTAATATCTTTCTTACTCAACCCATTTTGAAAACCATTTATAAGTGCTTGGTAACAGGGCTGAAAAAGTGTAGTTGAAAATATATACAAGCTGTCATAGTCTAAATAATCATCTCCTTCAAATTTATCCAGAAGTAAATTCATTAACAAGTTAGTTTTACCACATCCTGATTTTCCTATGATGCAAGCTCTTATTGAAGAAGGAAGTAATGGATTATTTTTTCGAATGGAGTAATAATTTTTAACAGAATAATCGGCAAAGTCAGATGACATAATTTAATGTGTAATAAATGGTTTATTTATTTCTTAATCTTAGATCTAATGAGAAGTCATTTCAGTTTGATTTTCCTCAAGACTTCAAACCCAAATCTATAGCTGTTGTAAAAGTTGATGGAACTTTGGAGAGTGATAAAAATAAGTTTATATATCTATCTTGTAGTCTTATATGTGATTCATTCATGAATGAAAAGCAGAGTAACATAATTTGTAAGTTTTCTTCAACTCATAGTAAAAGCATAAAATATGAGCCAATAAATTTAATCTATCATAAAACAGTTAACACTTGTAACACTCTAACTTTAAAACTTGTTGATGCAGAAAATAAACTTATTGAATATAATGATTGTGATGTTCATATAGAGCTACACATTATCTAAATTCTTTTAAAACCAGAACCACTTTTAAGAATCTTCAAGAAGTCTTTATTTGTTTTAGATAGGTTTGACTTTTTATGTGAAGTCTGTTTAGTATCTTTTTGTTTTGTAGTTTGTTTTGGAATTTCTTCAGGAATATTTTCTACAAGTTCTACTTTAGGTTTTTCTTCTGAACCCATAATTAAATAACTAGAAGCATTTCCAGCATTAAAGAATCTCATTTATTTAGTTAAAAATTAATCAACTGTTAGAGATTGTATAGATGGCATTTCTCTCAACTCTACAGCCTCATATTCTCTTCTTCTTTTTCTATTTTTTCTATCAATGAAAGTTTTTGGAGAAAGTATCATCCAAAATGATCTAGCTATAAATAGGTATACGAACATTGCTGGCAAAGTAACACCAACTCTCCAAATTCTAAGCCACCACTTTCCAAAGAATCCTTCTACATCGTCTAAAATCTCATGAGGTAAAGTAGAATCTTGATTACTTGCATGAGCTTCAATTGAAACATCAGACTTTTCTCTCATTTCTTCTATGAGTTCTTCTTCAATATTAGTTTTCAAATCTAATAGAATGTGTTCATGGAATACTACTTTGTCATCTAAGAATTTCAAATCATACTCTTTGAAATCTTTCATATTAGTAATGTTAGTTCTATAATCGATCATGGGGTGAAGCTGTGGTTTACTTGATATCACTCCTCCAAAATTATCATTCTTGTAATACCAAATTTTATCTCCAAGACTTTTTATCTTGATTGGTATTTGTCCTAGTGTTAGCGCTAAGCTCAACTTGTATCCATCGAAACGAGTAAGATCAATGAAATCAATCTCTTCTTCATCAATTTCTTTACAGAAGGTAACTTGTACTATTGGATCCTGAGAATCTATGAATCTTACTTTGATGGCTGAATGATTCAATTGTTTTTGGATGTATCTCCTTGGACTTTCTCTTATAAGACTTTCAAGAACTTCATTTTGCTCGTTAAAAATATCACACATGACTTCGGTTGTATGTCTGAGAAGATTGTTAGATTGGTTTTCTAGATATTGAAACTCTCCTGCAGCTTGGAAGTCGGAGTACAACTCTCTTTTACGTCTTTGTTTTCCAGTTTCGAACAATTCATAATTTGCTATCCTCTTTATAAATTCTGTGTAACTTGGGAATGCATCACAGCTTTCTCTGATAGTTTTGTATTCATCGTGACTTGGTAAAATAGCACAATCTTCTTTAATACTCAAATATTCTTCATATCCTGGGAATGGTAAAGGTTGCCAACTTTCATCTATTGATAAATTTAAGTGTTGTTCTTTCTCATAATTTGCAATGTTGTTTATAAAATCTGTATAAGTTGTAAGTGAATCACATCCTTCTCTGCTATTCTTGAATGCTTCATAACTAGGTAAGTTATGACAGTCTTGTTTGATTTTTAGATATTCGTTGTAATCTGGTAATGGTAATGGTTGAAAGATTTCTCTTTTGGTTCTATTGGATTTTTTGTCTCCACCTTTCAATTTCTCATCATAAACTGTCCAATCTTCTTCTTTGCGCTGTTTCATGAGTTCTTTCTTTTCTTTTTCTTGCTTCTTTTTCTCAAGTTCTTCTTCCTTCTTCAGCTTTTCTTGTTTCCTCTTTTCAAAATCAGCTTCATTCTGTTTTTGTCTTTCTTGATCACGTCTTCTAGCATCTTCTTGATCCCGTTTTCTGATATCTTCTTGTTCCCGTCTCCTACTATCTTCTTGCTCCCGCTTTCTCTGTTGTTCCTCTTGTTCACGTTTTCTGAGTTCTTCTTGTTCTCGTCTTGACGTTGAATATCTTGTTGAGAATATGATGGGATTGGAATAGGAATGTGTCTTGGAGAATATTGAGATCTTTCAATTCTTTTTACAGCAAAGCCTTCATCACTGATCATTAGATTTGAGTTGCAATCTTGTACTGTTTTATTGGATTGGAAATTGAGTGCGATTTGGTTCTTATTGTTAACCCAAAGTTTGTTATTGTACATCCCATCAAGTATTCCAATAGAGATAAATTGACATTTCTGATCTCTGTTAACATCCCATGTTATAATTTCATTTTTCTTGATCTCACAGAAACCGTCTTGATACTTGCAATTATTCATATCTGCCAGAATATTGGTTGGCTTAGATTGATTGAAATGTGAATAAACTTTCGTCTCAATAACTATACAATTTTCTTTGTGGAATCTTTTGGGAGAGAAGAAGCTTGTAAATCTATTTGGGTAATCAACTTCAATTTTATTGTTTGTACTCCGATACGTTAGAA